AAAGTAGCGCATGCATAACATAAAATTCTTCCTTTTTTTCCCAAAAATAATTGGCCAAAATTTAGTTCTTCTTTAGTCTGTAAAGGGGTGCTTTGATGCTATAGCTCTTTGAAAATAATAGGCTTTTTATTATTATATTTGGAATCTCGCACATGTTGTAGTGATTTGATATATTTCAAATAATCAGCCTTAATCCTTTAAACCGGTTTTAAATAGGATTGTGAGGTAATTTCATGGACTAGCGACATCTAACGTTAAAGAAAATAACCAAAAATTTTTGCTTACTTTTTCCTTACATGCGCTACTTTACTTTAACGCTTTATTTCTACAACAATGTTACAGAGATGCCCACCGTAAGAGACAAATTTGGGTCATCTTGAATGGATGCGCTTGCAGTATCAATACTTTATATTCTTCGTACATTTCTTTGTCTCTTTGACACAGGAACAGGAACATTATGTAGTGGTTATGTGAACTCAACTTTCACATAACGTTGTCGAGTACGTTTTTCTACTCCATTGTGATGCTGAGTTTGATATCGTTTTGTAAATAGATTGATTTAAAAACCTAATCTCTGTCAGTATTAAATGTCTGTTTTACAGATAAGGTCTTATCCATTAAATTCTGATATTATGCACACATGAACTTTGTGTGTACTATTTGCTGAGATTGAATCATGACTTCCGATATCTATATATGTAGAACTTACAATCAGATCGGGTACGGTTACTTCGATCTCCTACCTGAGCTAGAAACAAAGAGAAACCACACTTCAACACGGCCATCGTGCTAACATTCCTCACAAAACCTCTCTATTAATTTACTTATTATAGAAGAAGAAGGAAAAAAGGTACTCGTTATCCAGAGTGTTGAACATATTCATGAGCCGAGTCAGTGCTAGGAGCGACCACATTGATGAAGGAGCTCCCAAGCGTCTCGCCTCCTCCTCCGATCATTGAGGAGGAGGATGAGACGAGACGGGCAAATATAATGACTGGAATCATGCCACCCGTCCACTCCCATTCGATAAATTTGATCCCAAGCAATGATGAATCCATGTAAACAATAACAATAATAAGAACAAGGCAGGAGCACTCTGGATGACGAATACCTTTTTTCCTTCTTCTTCTATAATAAGTAAATTAATAGAGAGGTTTTGTGAGGAATGTTAGCACGATGGCCGTGTTGAAGTGTGGTTTCTCTTTGTTTCTAGCTCAGGTAGGAGATCGAAGTAACCGTACCCATCAGATCTTAGCCCTTGAGAAGTACATAAATAGTCTATTGTTATGGATGTATGTACTTGATAAATATTTTGAGCAAAAAAAACAAAAAAAAATACTTTATTCAATCTTTTTTTTTCTTACTACAAAGTTATCAAGCGTTGCAAGTTTGTTATTTGACTTAAGAAACGAAACTTTTTAATTTGGCGACATTGCAATAGTGATCTTGGAGATCTCCCGTATTTTTCAGATGTTATGAAAAAACTTTGGGGGATATTTTCTCAAATCACCTATGTTTAAAAATTTAGGTTGTTGTGATGACGTCTCACACAGGCTGCCAACTGCATTCCTGGAAGAGTATTAATATAGCCAACCTATTAAAGAAAAGGAAAAGAAAGAGAGAAAGAAGAGGAAAGAGTACGTCTCAAAGTTAAAAGGGGCTCGGAGAAATGACCAACAATAGGGATAACGTTCGATAGTGATTTGTGACGTCAATCACTCTTTCAGCTTCTTTCTCTCTTTCTTTAATAGGTTGGCTATATTATTACTCTTCCAGGAATGCAGTTGGCAGCCTGTGTGAGACGTCATCACAACAACCTAAATTTATAAACATAGGTGATTTGAGAAAATATCCATATATATATTTTCTCAAATCACCTATGTTTACAAATTAGGTTGTTGTGATGACGTCTCACACAGGCTGCCAACTGCATTCTTGGAAGAGTATAATATAGCCAACCTATTAAAGAAAAGGAAAGAAAAAAGAAGAAGAAAGAGTGATTGACGTCACAAATCAACTATCGAACGTTATCCCTATTGTTGTTCATTTCTCCGAGCCCCTTTACTTTGAGCTTTGTTCTTATTTTCATTAAACTTATACATCAATAAAGGATTGAGTTATGTATATTTAAATAAATCTCATAATAGGAATATTTTAATAAGGGAATAATCAGTTTATTCATAGGTAACAATAGGGATAACGTTCGATAGTTGATTTGTGAAGTCAATCACTTTCCTCTTCTTTCCTCTCTTTCTTTTCCTTTCTTTAATAGGTTGGCTATATTAATACTCTTCCAGGAATGCAGTTGGCAGCCTGTGTGAGACGT